GAGAGAGAGAGAGAGAGAGAGAGAGAGAGAGAGAGAGAGAGAGAGAGAGAGAGAGAGAGAGAGAGCATGCAGATCTCTCTCTGCGTGCCCTATGTGCCCCGCCTTAGGTATCCCACCTCGCACATGTACATACATACATAGCTACAAACATGCGCACAGCACCGTGGCGGGACACTCACAGCTTTTCAGCGAAAACGCTTTGTAGACTAGAGAATTCGTTTTTGTTGCGTTCTATACAATTATGCAAATAATATTTCGATCATTGTGCATTGTCATGTGCGGTCGCGGCTTAGTGTGTGTAGGTAGCGGCTGTGCAGGTGTCCAAGATATAAGACTTTGAGCGAGGCAGACCCCGCGAGAAAAAAAGGCCAAGAACTATATATCGCGCCGCACATATTGGATAATGGTTTGCAACGCGGATCCGCGATTTACAACGATTTCAAAACACCTATGCGAAAAAAATGAATCGTTATTATAATATTTTCACGCATAACATTTTGCCTAATCGCCGGCGCGAAAACAACGCGTTGGTGGGGCGCTACACCTGGGCCGCCATTTCTCCCTTCAGAACTACTAAAAGTGTTTCTTGCAGATTAGGGCTGATTGGCATGAACGCTGCATTCTCCTGGTGGCGGCAGCGTTGCTGAGATGTCTCTCGTACTGCAGGCATGTGGCTCGCCTTCCTTTCCTCTTCTTTCCTTTTTCCCTTTCTCCATTCCTCTCGCTCTGTCTGTGCATTTCTGTCTTGCTCCCTCTCTTCTTCGCTTTATCTTACTCTCCCGCTCTCTCACTCGTTCGCTCTTTCACTGCCTTGCTCTCTATCGGGTGCGCGCTCTTTCTCTCTCTCTCTCGCTCTCTCTCTCTCTCTCTCTGTCTCTGTCTCTCTCTCTGTCTCTCTCGCTCGCTCCCTCTTATTTCCCCTCTCCTCCTCCCTCCATCCCTCCCTCCCTCCCTCATCTCCCTCTCACTCCAGCCCCCCATCTCTCTCTCTCACGGGGCCGAATTCTCACGCATAGCTTCCGAACCTTTACACCGCTCCAGAGTGCGTCCAGCATAAACACAGTACCGACCATCTGGCGATCGGCGGCGGCGGCGGCGGCGGCGGCGTTTCGGAGCGCACGTGCGCGCGCGCCATTCAGCCCCGCTCGCAGACGATATAGCGACAAACATGGCATCACAAAGAGCGCCAACGCACGCGGGTATATCGTTTAGCGGCGACTCGCGGGGGCAGGGGCTGAATCAGCAGTCGCCCGTACGTACGCAACCGACGTGAGGGTCGCTGCTATGTGCGTGTGTGTGCAGCGGTTCTCTCATTATCGCCATGGCTAACTTTGTGGGAACTCACGGTGTCGCGTAAAACCATTGAAATTAAAGCACAGTGTGTGTGTGTGTGTGTGTGTGTGTGTGTGTGTGTGTGTGTGTGTGTGTGTGTGTGTGTAACGTGATGTATTGGTAGCTTGCGTGTAACCGTGTAATAACCCAGATAATGCATGGACGTCATTTTGTTAGAATACGCGTTAACAACGCTGCCCGGCGTTTATAAAGTTATTTTGATGCCATAAGTGTTTTTCCTGCTTTTCTGTCACAGGATATACTAGAGAACGAACAAATAAAGTTGGACTGGGTATTTCGTTACTCCCTCATGCACGACATAGTGAAAGGAATGCATTTCCTGCACAGCAGTGAAATACGTTCCCATGGCAACCTTAAGTCTTCCAATTGCGTAGTGGATAGTCGGTTTGTGCTCAAAATCACAGATTTTGGCCTGTACTCCATGCGTTACAATGACGATGAGGAGGAGGAAGACAACTACAGGTTTTACAGGCGTAAGTATCTTAGCCACGTATAGCATTCACATTGCCTGCTATGATGCCAAGCCTCGCAGGGTATTATTATATTTTCCTTTGAATTCACTGAAACCTTTAGTATCAATGTTCCTTGGTTAGGAGAGTGGGAAATAATGGCACTTTGAAGAGTGTTCTTCTAGTATTACCGTAAATTGCTTACGTTCGCACTATCATTACTTCTATACTATGCGCATTAGGAAGAGAATGCACACTAACCATCTATAGCGGCTGATATTAAATCATGCGGTCGCTCCTTGCGTTTGTGAGATGCTGCGAGATTTCGAGCCGAAAAGGAAACGAAAATTAATTTAATAGCATAATGCAGCAGGGTTTCGCAACAATGAATTCTCGCTTATGTATCGATAATAATTAAATAGTAATCACGATCTGTCAGCTGGCAAACTGGTCATCCATCATCAGCGTCATATAGGCGCCACTTAAGTTCTAATTAATTGATACCTGTCTGGTGTTTAGCTATTGAAAGCCGACAGACGGCGCTTCGTACGTTCAGCGATCGTTTTAATCATGATATCTTTTACCCGTTAGTTGGTTGATTGTTGGTTTTTTTCTGTCCTTGTCTCTTGTCTTCCTTGGAAAGATTATCGCGCCTCTGACGCGATGAACCTCGAGGCGTGCTCGACAACACCGCTCCTCGTCTTACTCGCGTTGCGAGTGTAGACAATAGGAAGCAGAAAGCCGAATATTGATGTTACGTAGACGCGGGCCTGCGGGAACGTATCGGTAACGTTTGGCTATTGACCAACACTCAGTATTAATAACACTCGGCATTGCTTGCAACATTCTCAGAAGCAGCCGGCTAGCTAGTTATAGAGACAATAATAAAGATGGCGACGATATTTGCCTGCGCCATTGTCCGTCGTGCGCGCGAATTCGGGTACACTGGTGACTGACTATTCATGTAATTCACTACAAAAGCATGCCGCATTCGCAATTGATGAAAGTTCAAATATTATATATATATATATATAAATAATAATATATTAAGGTAACTTTAGATCTTCTAGTTAACCGCTGATTGCCCTGTTTTCATCCCGCTAACGTCTTGAACAATTTTTGGTTCTAGAACAGAGTGTTATTAGGCAGTCGCGTTTTAGTTATTTATATCGCGCAAGTAATTTGATAAAGAATTGATCATATAAACCAAACTGTCGAAACTGCGCAGTCATTACATTCATTGTAAAACCGACGAATCATTAAAAATACGTGTTTTCTATTAGTAAAACATATTCGAAAGTCGTTATATGGACTCCCGATGATATCTGCATTATTAGTTCCCGTAATCCCTAGCTATACACCAGCAGCGTTTTTTCTACTGCCACATTCTAGTCATGTCTTTGTCGCGTCTTCGCATTCTGTACCCGCTTATCACGGTTTTCCCCCCCTTGTGAGGGTAAGAAGCGTCGGTTTTCACAAAAATTCAGCGCCAGGCGTAAAGTTGTTTACGCGAAACCTGTCCGAATTATAGATAAATACGCGCGCAAAAGTAAATCCCGCTCAAATTACGGCATCGTAGTTGAATTGATGGCACTCCCTCAGACTTACGGCAGTCAAGATTGCAAATATGCGGAACATCTATTTAACAGAACTTTCCATAACGTGGCATTACTAGGTATCGTTGTCACAACGGCGCAGTGACGGACCGACGAAATAACGGAATTTCAACCGCACACGCACATCATCGCCTGTACTCGGCCCTCGTAACTCATTATCGGCGAGTTTAATTTCGCCGTGGATTACAATCACAGCACGAACGCTTGTTCGGTAATGGCTAAAAAGACAACCCGTAATAGACGTAAAGGATTTTCGCAAGGCAAGGTTCGCCCATCACTCGCCCTGCTGTAAATACGCTGTGACTTGTCTGAGCTAATCCGCACGTGTCCGTCAATGCGGGCGGTGAACCATTCCTGATTGGGTTGTGCGAGTGTGTGTCTATAGAGCCAACACGGCCAAAAGGAGCGTACATCGGCGCGTTTAGAATATAAATATCGTTGCACCTTATACGCTAATTGCAACTGAAACCAGTTCCGGGAATTGCAATATTGTTTTATCCGGAGCAAGTAATCATTGAAAGCGGGCAGTAATCGGAATCGGTAAAAGAGTAATCACAATCGATATCTTATCCGAAACTTGAAAGTCTTAGAAAATACATGGCCGCGAAAAATGCGTGAGCGTTGGCGAAGGTGGGTGCGTGCGTGGACGCGTGGGCGAAGGTGTGTATGTGGCGTGAGCGTGGGTGGGTGTGTACGTGCGTGAGCGTGGGCGTGGTGTGTATGTGCGTGAGCGTTGGGCGAGTGTGTTGTGCGCGTGGGCGAGGGCGTGGGTGTGTACGTGCGTGAGCGTGGGTGTGTGCGTGCGTGAGCGTGGGCGTTGGTGTGTACGTGCGTGAGCGTGGGCGTTGGTTTGTACGTGCGTGAGCGTGGCGTGGTATGTAGTGTGCGTGAGCGTGGCGTGGTGATGTATGTGCGTGAACGTGGCGTGGTGTGTCCGTGCGTGAAGCGTTGGTGGTTGTGTAATGTGCGTGGGGGCGGGGCGTGGTGTGTACGTGCGTGTGATGTATGTGGCGTGAGCGTTGCACCCCGTGGTGTGTACATGCGGTTTGGGCGTGGCCGTGGGTGTGATACGTGCCGTGGGTGTGTATGTGCGTGAGCGTTGGCGTGGGGTGTGTACTGCTGCGTGCGCGCGCTTGGCGTGGTGCTCGTACCTGTGCGTCCGGCAGCGTGGGGGCGCGTGGGTTGTCGTACGTCGTGCAGGTGGGCGTGGGTGTCTGCTATCGTCGTGAGCGTTGGCGTGAGTGTGTATGTGTCGTGGAGCCGTGGTGTGGTTTGTTACTCGTGCGCGTGGCGTGGTTTTGTGGTGCCTGTTCACGGTGTGTCGAGCCGTTTGGCGTGGGTGTGTCCGTGCGTGGCGTGGGCCGTGGTGTCGTATCGCTGCGTGAGCGCTGGTGTGGTGTGTATCTGCGTGAGCGCAGGCGTGGGTGCTGTACGTGCCGTGCTGTGTGTCACGTGCGTGTGTTCTATCGCCGTGAGCGCTGCGGCGTGGTGTCGCTACCCGTGCGTGAGCGTGGCGTGGGTGTGTACGTGGCGCTGAGCGTGTGCGTGGGTGTCGTACTCGCTGCCGTCGCAGCGTGGCGTGAATGTCGTATGCTGTCGTGAGCGTGTGCGTGGGCTGTGTCAATGTGCGTGACGATGGTTGTGGTGTGTACGTCGCGTGGAGTGTGTACGTGGCCGCTGAGCGCTGTCGCCGTCGGTTCGTGTACGCTGCCGTGGCTGTGGGCGCTCGGTGCTGTCATGCTGCCGTGCAGCGTGGCCCGTGGGTGCCTGTATTGTGCCGTGACGTGGGCGTGGCTCCGTAGACGCTGCGTGCCGTGGCATCGTGCTCTGCGTAGAGCCGCTTGGCCGTGGGTGTGTATCGTGCGTGAGCGTGTTACGAGCGCCTGTGGCGTCGCGTCGGGTGCCACTGCTGCTGTGCGTAGGTGGCGTCGTCGCCATATCGTGACGAGAAACACAGACGCGGTGCTGAGTGGGCGTTTTTTTTTTTTTTTTTCCTTTTTTTTTATTCTTATTTTTATTTTTTTGGGAATCCTGCGTGTAAACATTGCTTGACTTGCATCTCTAAAATGCTCTTGGCCGAAAGATCTTTGCAATCGTACGCATCCAGATCTCCTGAACTAGCGGGCATGCACTCTGTTTTATACCACACGAACTATCGTTTCCTCCCGCGTCTAAGCGTAGCTGTGCTGACCCAAATAATTCATTGCCTAACTCAGGCCCCTCTTGACATTCTCTCCAAAAGATTCTTCCTACTGTGCGCTCTTTGGCTCGTTTTCCGCTGCTGTGGCCATTTCGCC